CGCATCCCTGGTCGTTTTTCATGCCAGGACTTGAATGGAAAGAAAGGGTCCAGGAAAACTGGTGCCTGGCCAGCTTTGGTGACTGCTTTTCAGGATGTGAGCGACCACATGCTAACATGCAAGGTTGTCATCCCTCCCGCTCAGAGCACTGGGTGGTCCCTCCCAGGTGTGTGTGTGCTCCAGAGTGGGTAGGGCTCCGGGGTCTCCTGCGGGCAGACCTCTGCTTCCTGGCTCCGTAGCCCGTCCAGCCAGGCTCACTGCCTTTGCACGCTGGTCATCACTCAGCCAGGAGAGCTCGCGTGGCTAGGAGGCAGGTCTACAGAGCTGTGGCTGGCAGTCAGGGACTGTCGCACGCTCAGGACACTCACTGAGAGTGAGCCTTCCGCGCTGCCTCCTGCTTCCTCTTAGTCAGGACCAGAAGCACCCCTGAGGGAGTGTAGATGAGACGGTTCATGCAGAACCTTGGGCACCCATCCAAGAACTGGCTCTGGCGCTCCTGGCTCTGCAGAGACCTCCGGTCTAGACAGGCAGCCACCTCTTGTTATAGAGCCTCAGCACGCCAGTCTTCACGGCTATAAATAAAACTGCTGCGGAGAGGCGGCAAGGCCAGGCACCAGCCAGACCCTAAAATAAACTTGGGGCTCAGCTGAAGCGGTGTTTTGTCCAGCGGCCAGCTCCGCCTCTCTCCCTGTGCACGTGACTAAATAGGATCATGCGGGGCCTGGAAGTACTCCAGGGAGGCCGGAGGGACCAGACTTGCTGGAAATGGTACGATGAGCCCCAGCGTGGCCCTCATGTCTGCAGAGGCCCGAGCTTTCTGGCGATGAGAGAGCAGCCCCTTGCATTTCCCCGCCCCACAAGGTGCTCCTCCAGCTTGGCTCCTGTCCTAACAGGACCGCATAGCTTGAATGCCAGAGCTGCTCAGGAGCCTCAGGGCAGGAGGGCGGGTGCTTAGGCCTGGAGATGCCGTACCTCCTCCCTTCTTGGTGGCTGTCCCCCTCCCCTGCAGGGCCCGCCCTGTGCGGCTGGAACCTCCTTCCCCAGCTTTCTCTGTGGGCTGCACCTGGGCAGCACCTGATGCTTGACTGCTACTCTCCACCCGAAATGGAGGCGCTGCTAAGTCAGGCAACGATCCAGTCACTCCCGTAATAACATGAGAAGCATCCCTAAGTATTCCTTCATCCAGGACATCTGCCTGAGCCCTGCTAAATGCCTCAGCTCTGCTGTGTGCAGTAGTTCCCAGGTTGTCATTGGGAGAGCAAGGGAGGACAGTGATGTGGGTCAGGTGCTTGTCACAGGCCAGGCCGTGCTCGGCACTCACAGGGCGTCACCGCTAAATCCACACGAGCCTGTGGCACAAGTGCCGTTGTCTCATCCCAGGTCCGTGTGGCTTGAAAGTGTGCCCTCTGAGCCACTGCCCTGTCCCAGCTCCCGGAGAAGGCCCCGGCGGTGTGGGAGCCGCCCCCCTGAGCTTGTCACATGAGACCTGTGTAATAATGGGCCACATGATCAGTTAGGAAGCGTGATGCATTGTGGTCACACGGGAACTGTCGTGTTCGTGTGGCAGGGCCTGCTCGGCGCTCATCGCTCGGTGAGCTCACAGGGCGGGGTCCGGGAGGACAGTGTCGGGACTCTAGCAAGAGCTGGCCTTTTTGTCTCGGTCCGTTCCGGCTGCTGTTTGTTAACAAAACACCACAGCCTGGGTGGCTTATCAGCAACAGGAACATGTTTCTCACAGTTTGGGAGCCAAAAGCCCAAGATGAGGTGCCGGGATGGTCGGTGAGGAGCCCCTCCCAGGCCCCAGACTTTTCATTGTGTTCTCATGTGGCAGAAGGCCAACCTCTCTCTGGAGCCTCTTTTTTCTTTTTTTCTTTTTTTTTAATTTGGTTTTAGAGAGATCAGTCAGTTTGTTGACCCACTTATTTATGCATTCATGGTTGATTCTTATATGTGCCCTGATCAGGGACCAAACCCACACAACCTTGGTGTATCAGGATGACCCTCTAGCCCACTGCACTACCCAGCCAGGGCTCTCCGGTACTTGTTGCGGGCGCTGTGGCCACTCGGGCTCCACAGCCATCAGCGCGAGAGCCGCTGGGCTGGGCTGGGCTGGGTGCAGTAGTGTTTGGCTTTCAAGGGATAAATCCAAAGAGGTTTACTTATCCTAAAGGTTCAAAATGAGTCAGTATGACCCGGTGTCTGACTGCGTGTGGAATTCAGCCACCAGGTGCCTGAAGAACAGGAGGCATAGGTTGGGAGTGTGACAGCAGAGGTCCTGACCGCCCTTACAGAGCAGGCCTGCTGTCCTTGGGGCGTCCTGCCGTGGAGACCCTGAGGACAGCACTGGCCAGTCTCCAGGCCTCTCCCTGAGGATGGAGGGTGGGAAGGGAGGGAGCGGGTTGGGCCTGGGCTGGGGCCTCCTCAGGATTACTGTGACCAGCCTGTCTGAGTTGCGCTGAGTAATCTAATCTCTCTCTCTTGTCTGTTTTCTTCTCTCCGTCTCCTCGTTTGTGTGTGTTCTCGCTTGGATTCTCTAGTATAAATCTGTGTTTAGGTCCTACTCCCAGGATTTCGTGCCTCACAACCAAGCTTCCGCACACCCTTTCCTCCCGCCCGCCTCCTCTTCCTCCCCACACCTCCCCCCTGTCCACCAGTCTCAGAGCTCGGACTTGGCGCGGCCTGCCCCGGCCAGCCTGCCTCCCAGCACCTCGGACGGGCCTCTTCCTCTTCCGCCTTCTCAGGAGAGCACCTTTCATGGGAGCACTGTCTGCCTTCCTCCCGCAGCCTCTCCCCCTGGCTCGCCCCAGACGCCTTCGGTGAGAATCCCGCACACCCGTGGGGCTGCGTGTGTGAGAAAGCCGTGTCGCCGTTAGCGGTCAGTGTGGGCAGCCCGGCCAGTGCGGGTCCCAGGCGGGCAGCCGCTCCCGGAGGTCCCGACCGCGGGTCCGAGCCCCTGAGCGGCGGTCCGTGATGGCGAGCACAAGGCAGAGGACGTGGCTCGCGTTCTGTCTGGTGGTGAGAGGGAGGCGCAGAGGTCACGGACGTGCCTCTGGTTGTGTGCGGTGCTGAGTGCGGGGCCTACTCTCCTGCGCTGGCCGCGGGCTGCGGCCTTCCTCCGGGCAGGCAGGTAGGGCCGAGCAAACAGGCAGGGCATCTTCGCAGCTGCCTCTTTCCCTCCATTTTCCCGGCGGAGTGGGCAGGTGGGCCTCTGGCAGTGAATGGCCTGGGCCTCTTTGGACAGGACGCCTCGGGAGGCGTGAGTCCTGGAACACCACACGAGGTGGCCAGGCAGCTTTGCGCTCTGCCCTCTCCCGTGGAAGGAGCGTCCGGCGGGGCTCCCGCAGGCTGCCCGGGCCCGAGGCCGGCTGGAGGCCGTCACATGTGCTTTCCTCTCGCCCTTCTCCCCAGAGTGACAACGCCAGTGCGGAGGCTGGTGGGGGTGAATACGTCAGTCTGTGCTCCTCTGGCCAGAGCAGCGCGGAGCTGGCTCGCTCTCGAGGAGTAAGTAGCCTCGGGCTGCCCTGGCCCAGCTTCTGGCTGGCTGGCCTCTCGGCCACTAGCAGGCCGGGCCCCGTGGGAGAGGACATGGCTGCTGTGTAGGTCTTCCCGTGGCTTCCGCTGCTGTGCATGCGGCACTCCTGGAGCCGGGCCGGTGGCTTTCCTGGACTCGGTGGGCAGCCTGCAGATGGCCTGGCCACGTACCGCGTGCTCTGGGGACTTCCTCCTGTCCCATCTGCTAGTGTTGAGGGCACCATGGGGAGGTCTCTGCCACATGGAGCCCTCCGCACCATCACCCCCTCTACCTGCCCCGCACCCATTCACCCCTTGGCCAGCTGCTCCCCAGCAGCGGTGAGTCTGGAAGGTAGCCCCGCTGTGCCTCTGGCACCCCCCTCCGAGGACCGCCCAGCACTGCCACGTTTTACTCTGTCCCCGCTCCAGGCGAGCCTGGCCCAGCAGTTCCATCGGGGAGTCAGCTTCCAGGTTTGGCTGCAGCAAAACATGAGCAAGTTCAAAAGCCCCAAAAGTAACTCTCCCCAAGGGGATCCCCACAGGGTCCCAGATGTCCACATAGGCTGCCCTGCTTAGAGTTAGCAAGTCCCTGGAGTACTGTGGGTTTTCAGTGCAGTGGGAATGGACCCCGTGTGTGGGAGCTTAGCTGTTTCTCCCCTGGAGTTCTCAACTCACCTGTGGCCTCAGGTGCCCCGCCCCTGGCGTCATCCTGGGCTGGCCCTCCAGAGCCTGCCCCTCCATCTGGTGCATGTTCTATGCCGGCCACTGCGCTGGGCGCCCTCCATGACAATGTCCCACAGGTTCCTGCTGCCGTTCTGTGCTGGCCTGGGTGGCAGATCGGGGTTGTGAGTGCCGGGTTGTCGCTGGTGGGATAGGCGGGTTCCCAGGAAGCAATGAGGCTGCTGGGGGCGGGCTTGCACTCACACACGGGAGCAGCTAGATTCTTTGGGCCAGCCCTGGAGCCATCGAGCACTCGGTCCTGCGAGCGGTCTTTAGCCAGGCCAGCGAAGCTTTGCTGCCCTCCACAGGGCACAGAGGCTAGGGCTCGGGTGTGGGAGGCAGAGCCTGGGTTTGAGTCCTGCAGCCTTCTAGCTGCGTGGTCTCTGGCAGGGCCCTTCCTTTGTCCCATCCACCGTGTGTGAGGTGGGCAGGATGGCGCCAGCTGAAGGACAGGCCTCGGTGTGGCAGTGCCTGGCTGAGCTTTGCTGAGTGATCGGCTGAGCCATCCTCTCTTCCACAAGGTGGTGGGGAGGGCTTCATCGCGGTTGGCAGCTGGCATGCGTTGTAAGCAGTGGCACCTGCGCTGTGCCAGAGGCAAGATGCTCTGGAGAGGCTGTGATGTCTGTGTAATGAACCGGGTCCTGGGTGGCCAGCTCACATCTTGGGCCCCAAGGAACCTGCACTCCAAAGCCACCTGCAGGCAGGAATGCTGGGAAGCAGATCGGCCCCCATGGGCACCTGTCAAACCCAGCGCCGACTTCTCTTTTCAGGAATCGCCAGCTGTGAGGGATGGGCACCCCAGAGATCCCTCCTTGGTCGGCAGTGCGCCTGGGAAGGAAAACGGAGACGGAGAAAGGTAGGAAGTGATCACGGGGCCCAGAATCCACTGGCAGGGGGCTGCAGCGACCCAAACCCAAGCTGTGTCCTTAGCCACGGTGCCTGCGATGGGCAGCAAAGCTTCCTTCGTTTTGTGTGACTCTCAGTTCTGCGTGCTCAGGATAGACAGCATGAAAGTACAGAAAACGCAGGGAAACAGGAAAAACCACAAGCAACCCGCCCTGAAGGCCTGCATTCTGTCCTGCAGGCGGCCACTACTTGCTGGTCACCTGCACACCGTTACCCACCTTACTGCCTGCCGTGGCGGGCTCCAAGGCCCTCGGCAACATCCTCGATCTGGTCCGAGTTCAGGTGCAGTGAGAGAATTAAAAACATCTCCCAATGCCGAAACCGGTGTGGCTCAGTGGATAGAGCGTCGGCTTGGGGACTGAAAGGTCCCGGGTTCGATTCCGGTCAAGAGCATGTACCTTGGTTGCGGGCACATCCCCAGTAGGGGGTGTGCAAGAGGCAGCTGATCGATGACTTTCTCTCATCGATGTTTCTAACTATCTCTCTCCCTTCCTCTCTGTACAAAACCAATAAGATATATTTTAAAAATAAATAAATAAATAAATAAATAAATAAATAAATAAGTAAATAAAATAAAACATCCCCCAAGTTTTTGCTTTTTATAGATACAATGCATATTGTGTATTTTTAAACCATTTAAAAGTAAGTTACAGAGCGACTCTCAGCTCCTAAATACTCCACATGCCTCCCGAAAACTTTAAATGCCTACCTGACCGCAGTATCACGTCACACCTAAGAAAATAATACACTTCCTCATCTCAGCACACTACCTGACAGGACCCTGATTCTCCCTAAGTGTCTTATTGGGCTTATTTTTTTGGAACCAAGATGAGTCAGGAGTCATCGTTACCTTTGGTTGTATGTCCCTTTCACCTCACAGCATTGCAGGGTTAGCATGAGGCAGGCCTGACCAGTTCTGAGACGGTAGATCTCTCTAGGATGCTCTTACAGGGTGTACTGAGCAGGGCCTGCACCCGCAGCCTCATAGTGGCACCTCTGTGGAGTGTTCCATGCACAGGGTGGGCAAAAGGAGGCTTACAGTCACGAGTACATGCATGAAACACAGTTTATTCCTGTATTGTTATTTATTAATTACTAGAGGCCCAGTGCATGAAATTCATGGACTGGGGGTGGGGGGAAGGTTGTCCCTCATACCGGCCTGCACCTTCTCACAGTCTGGGACCCCTCAGGGAATGTCCACCTGCTGGCTCAGGTCTGCTCTCCCCGGGGAGCGAACCTAAGCCGTCAGGCAGACATCCCACTCACAGTCCGGGACCCCTCGCTCCTTACCACCCAGCTGCTTGCTGCTCCTTACCACTCAGCTCATTGCTCCTTAGCGCTGCTGCGGAGGCAGGCGAGGCTCCCACCCGCTGCCGCTGCCGCTGCACTTGGGGACTGAAAGGCCAGCTGTGAGCCCAGCTTCTGGCAGAGCGGCGCTACCCTGTGGGAGCTCACTGACCACCAGGGGGCAGCTCTTGTGTTAAGCATCTGCCCCCGGGTGGACAGTGCACATCATAGCGACCGGTTATTCTGGTGGTTCTGCCATAATAGTTGCCTGGGCTTTTATGATATACATGAGTAGCCTTCGCAGTCATGGCTGCCTCAGCCCTTGCAGCCCTGGCTTTGTCCAGAAGATCATCTGGAAGGTCACGGACAGTCACTCCACTGTCCAGCCATTCAGTTTATTTGCATATTCACTTTTATTATTATAGATTGTATTAGCTTCCATACAATCAGCTGTAATCCTACTTTTGCCCGCCCTGTATTCAAGCTTTTCCTTCCTCTTTAGGCCGAGGTTCAACTACCTCTGGGGTCCTTGGTGTAAAGCTAGGCCATACCCAATGTCATTGTCAGGCCCGGCATAAATGGTTGAAGAGGTGGCAAAAATGGCAAGAGACCAAAGGAAACAATTAGAAAGCATCCTCTAGGGGCCCAGCCTTCTCTCAGACACTGTTCCGTGTCCACATACAGTCTGACTCACCTGCCAGCTAGGGTCCCCGGGTGTTAGTAAAGTGGTGGGTTTTCTGTCTTAACACCCAGTGGCAACGTGTGCCTGTGCCACATGACAGCCACTCGTGGGTCCCATTAGCTCGGGGGCCTGAAGGTGCACTTTTCAGAGTCCCGATGGCCTCGGGAAGGAAGCAGAGGCGGGCACACTTACTGGTTAGGAGCATTGCTGGGAAGTCCTTTTTCCATAAAAGCCACCCCACAGATGGTCTTGACAGAGAGGCGTGACACAGGTTCCTCCCAGGACCACGCAGTTTTGCTCTGGCCATCCGTATTGGCACAGGCTTCTGTCTTAGGCACTTGAGGTTTAAATGTGGCCTGTGACCACAAGGACAGCCAATGCCCACAGGATCCATCCTGAGAATCCTAAGTAGAAATTGGTAATATGGGAGAAAACTAGGGGAAAGTAAGGCATCTATAGATCCATTGCCCATGTCCCCCAATGTCTCCCAGCCACCCACCTGCTCCCCTGGTGGGGGGTCTCTCCCCCTTTGCTGGGCCACTCCTGCTCGGCTCTTCAGTCTCAGCTTGTCTGCCCCATCCTCAGGAGCTTTCCCTGCCTTTGAGAGTAGGCTGGGGCCTTCCTTTTAAATATATTCTTTATTGATTTCAGAGAGGAAGGGAGAGAGTGGTGGAAACATCAATGATGGCAGAGAATCATTGATTGTCTGCTTCCTGCAGGGCCCCTACTGAGGATTGAGCCCAAAACTCGGGCATGTGTCCTGACCAAGAATCAAACCATGACTTCCTGGTTCATAAGTCAATGCTCTACTGAGCCACGCTGGCCAGGCGTGTGTCTTCTGCTAGACCCAGCGCCCCAGGACAAGAGCAGATCTCCCCTTTCACGCTTCCGCTCAGGAATGGCCCTCGGCAATGACGTGGGCAATGGCACTAAGGTCACTTGAACTCTCGCCCATCCTGCTGGCCATTTGCTGTTCCTCTCCGTGAGCACTGACCGCACGCGGTGGGCCTTGACAGGGAGTAACTGAGACCAGCACGGAGGGAAATAGACCAGTGGAGCCTTCTCCATCCCCTTGCTGAGCCCTTCTGTTTGCAGCTGGATCATCCAGAGACAGCAGAAATGTCCCACGTCGCCTGGCTCCTGAGGGCAGCGGCCAGCAGGTCTGGCTGCTCCCTGTAGCCGTGGTCAGGGCTGGCTCAGGGCGGTCCCCACGGCCAGGGCTGCACGGCTTCACCTCCAGGGCCTGTGGCATTTGCAGCACAAACCACTTGTCCCTCAGGGCCCTGAAGTCACCAGATGGTCCCGAGTCAGCTCAGTCAGAGGAGGAAGTGGACGAACTGTCCCTCATCGACCACAGTGAGATCATGGCGAGGCTGACGCTCAAGCAAGAGGTGGGTACCTCGCAGGCTTTGGTGCAGATGAGGCTGAGGGGTTTTGAGGAGACTAACCTTGAGATGTACCAAACAGAAGGCCCACGTGAGGTGTTGGCCCTCCAGGTGGCTGCCGGGCCATGGCTCCCCGCACCTCTTCCATCCTGGCTCAGCGAGGCCCCGGCCACCAGGGGTGCGCCAGGTCCCGGCAGATGGATGAGGAACAGGACAAGGTGTGGCATAAATGTCTTGGTGACACTGTACACTCTCCTATGAAGGGCTCCCCGGAAGGACCCGTGACATGACAAGCGCATCCCCACCCCCCGGAGCAGATGCAGACTTAGAGCAGCTCGCTGCCCCAGTTATCCTGGGAGAGGCTGGGACGTCCTGTCTGCCCCCCCCCCCCCCGGGGTTCGCTGTCCCCAGAGTGTGAGAACGCCCTCCTCGCCTCCCTGACCCACGGGTTGGTGAGCAGGGACAGGTCGAATGATGCCGGGTCCCCCTGACCCAGGTGTGTCTCAGAGCAGCGTGCCCCAGGCTGGCGATGTCTGGGCGCCTCAGGGCCATCCGCCTCCCAGACAGTTCCACTGGGTGCTTATCTTCCCAGTGGGGAGGGGTGGGGAGGGCCATGCCTGGCCTCTGCAGCATGACCACACCGGTCCCAGCTGAGGGAGAGCTGAGGGAGAGGGGCCTGCGGTCTCTGGCACAGCGTCATCGTGCCATCCCTGCCCGTGGCTCTGAAACCGGCTTCTCCCAGCTGCACTGTTGTCCTTGCAGGGTGACGATGGGCCTGACGTCCGGGGAGGATCCGGGGACATCCTGCTGGTCCACGCCACGGAGACGGACAGGAAAGGTATGCAGTGCCTCTGCGGCGGCCTCTGTCCGTGTCCGCTCCCTGGATCTGGGCACAAACTGCTGTAGCCGACCATCGGCCTGGCCTCTCCGCCCTCTCCGCCAGCCCTGAGTGAATCAGGAGGCGGCTCCTCCGGTGGGCCTTGCCTGGCACCCGAGCATGCTGTGTGTCCCAGCAGCGTGCCAAGCTCTGCCCCTTCAACCTGTCCTTAGCGCTCTCGTGTGGAAGTTCCCAGGGTCTGTCCTGGGCCCAGCCTCCTGAAGGCATTGCCTCTGACTTGGCTCCAGAGCCTGCTGCTGAGGCTGAGTGGTTCTCTCCGCGCCTGTGACTAAGGCCCTTTGAGTGGTGAGGTCTGAACTCTGCCTACCAGGCGGGGCATGTTGCAGCCACCTCGTAACCACACATCCTTCCCTCCAGATCTGGTGCTGTACTGTGAGGCCTTCCTGACCACCTACCGGACCTTCATCACCCCCGAGGAGCTCATCAAGAAGCTGCAATACCGATATCCTTCCCACCCTCGCCGCAGGCCCGGGCTGGAGGGGCGCGGGCCATGCCGGGCAGCGGGCAGAGAGGCGGCCATGTCCAGCTTTGGGGCCTCAGGCAGGGCTTCCTCTGTGAGCCTCCTTCCCCTGCCAAAGGGCTGCGGGAGGTGCGCAGTGCCTGGGACAGAGGCCGCGGTGACAGGTGGTGATGACGCCCTGAGGGCAGGAACATGGGGCCCCTGCAGAGACCCAGCAAGTTGGCACCTGCAGCTTCTGAGCG